ATGGAAGAACTAATATTTTAAATGATTAAAAATATAGAAATAAAATTGTATTAAGTTAAAGTTTAAGAGAAAAGAGTGCTAATCAAATAAAAAGTTATGAGATTAAACTGGCATTTAATCAAAGTTTAAGATTTGAGTTTTAATCGTATTCAAATTATATCAACTAGATGATTGATTTTTAAAAAAAATAAAGAATTAACATTGTTGTTGTGAACGTAATAAATAGAGATAGTCAGGCAATTTAAAAGAACACGAAAACTTAATAAATGCACTGTATGAAAAAAAAAAAGAGAGAGAGAGAGAGACTTAAAAACAGAAGAACACAAACTTAAAAACAGAAGAACACAAACTTCGAAGTAAATATTAAAATCACAATAACACTGATCGCTCAGTGTCACTTCCAAGGACTTGGGAATTTGGTTCTTTGCTCCTTGGTGGGAAGATCCACGGGGCATATTACTCGGCTTGCTAAAGAGTTTGAATTATTGAGCTTCAGGGGAGAGAGGGTGGATGAATTTGAATATTGGTCATGAATGGCATATCTCTGCAACTTCAAATTGTAGCAATGCAAAAGATTACTTTGAAATTTGAATAAAAATTAGTAAAAATGTTTCAAATATAAAAAATGCAATTTGAAAAAATAAATACTATTAATTAATTAAGTGTATGTTTAATTCCACAGAGAAAACCTCCAAAACCATTTTTGGATTAAAGCAGTGATTTTATAGTTTCCAATGTGAAACTAGATGTAACTTTAATAATTACCCCGTCTATTTTAAATTATAAGATATTTTTATATAAACTTTTATTTTCTCTAGATCAAAATATAAGTTATAATCAACTAATTCATAATTTATAAATAATGTTAGTTGAAACCTTAAATTTTTAAAAATGTCTATATCTTTTCATTTATACTCCTATTAAATATCCTACATAAAAGTTTTGAGAATAGTAATTAAAATTCAAGTGCTTGATTTTTTCAAAAAGAGTAATAAATAAAATAAGAATATATTTGAAAAATAAATATAAAATTTATCCAATGCCTTATATTTTGGACTAAATAAAGCTTTTACAATATATTTTATATCGTGATTTAGAAGGAATACACATTAATAAATCTCATTAAATATACTTAACAACTTTATTTTTTTAAAATAAAAATATAAACTTTCAAAAAATACCTTCACTGAATATATTGAAAATAGAGAGTGACAAAAATTAAATAGAAAAATAAAGGATAATATTGGAATAAATATATTTAATGAAATTTTAGTTTTCTTAAAGTATTTTACATTTTAGGATGCTAAATTTTCTCTTAAATGTGTTTTATAGTTTGAGATGGAGAGAGTAGATTACAATACACTCCCTCCAATTTTTATTATTAGAGAAACTATCATTTTTTACTTATATTTTTTTATAAGTAAAATAACTCATTTCAATAAATATTTATTGTACGTTTTCTAAGTCACCCTCATAATTTATACTTATGAGAAATAATTAATATATATTTATGTTGATTAACACAGGATAATTTAATTTATTTTTTTATTTTTAGATATAATTATTATATTTACCTAACTTTTTTAAACTGTGCAATGTAATTTTTTTTATCTTATACATAAAAATAAGTAGAGTATATGATTGAGTAATTAAATATTTTTCACCGACTTGATTTCATACCAATATTATTAATATATAGAATATTTCTTCCTATCCATATTACAGGGTGCTTTTTACAAGAATTTTTTAGTCATTGATATAAGACATTTGATAGAGTTAGAGCTAATAATTCGAATAATCCTGAATAAACCTTAAAAAAATTCAAGGCCAAGCTTAGCAAATTATTTTTTTAATAGGTCAAAAAAATTTGAGCCAAACTCAATCGAGTTCAATATTCGCTCAAATACTCAAGGAAAAAATTAATTTTTAAAAAGGGTATAAAATATATTTGCCTACATTGTTATTAATAGTCTCTTAAAAAATTAAAAATGTTCACATCATTAAATTTTTAATATTTTTTAATCTATAAAAATATTATTTAAAAGTTATTTTAACTTTGATTTTTGAACTTCAAAACCCAAAAAAATTTGGAGCCTCCTAATTTTTATGTATCATAAAAAGTATATTTTATTTTTTTGATAAAAAATTTATTTTAAAGTGAAAAAATTCAATTTTTATTCCACTAATAATTCAGGTATTCGAGCCAACTCGAAAAGGTCAGAGTCGGGCTTGATTATTTGAACTTTTTTATACAATCAGGCTCACTTGAATTATCAGTTTTAGATGGGATATTAATTATATTTTTTTAATATTATCCTTATTCAAACCCATTAACTATGATGAAGAATATAATGCAAATTTGAAAAAAAATCATTTAAATCGGTATAAAATTAAAAGTTTGTTCTGTTTTTAATAACATTAATGATTTAATCATCTCTCTTAAGTTCTAGTGGAATATTTAAAGAAGTCTTATAATAGAGAAAGAAAAGAGTAGATAAATTGTTTCTCCTGCAAGCTATTGAAATCCGCAATCCTAAATATACTTACAAATGGCGAATAACAAGTCTTCATACATAAGATAACTACATGTCCAAATCTTGAATGTGAAAGTACTAGTTAAGTTAATAGAAACCCATATCAACTAAGTTATAATATGATTGGTTTTATAAAATGCTCTTCACTGAACCATGAACATAGCTAGTCAACTACATACATTGTGGAGAGTTTGTCGCTCTCTAAAAGCTTATGTAAGAAAAATCATATTTGTTTAAAATTGTCGGCCCCACTTCTCCAAATTAAATAAGCAGAATATTAGTGAAATGACATTAAACTAACAAGTCGTTAGGTAGAATTATTTCTTCTGCAATGAACAAATGATGATATGAAGATTGAAGACATATTGATTTGAATAAAAATTAGAAAACAAAAGAAAAAATCTTGAAGCCCACAACAAAAGTAAATGAGAAATGATTGATCTTTCCATCATAAGTAGAGAGTAAGTCATTTAGGATCTTATGCTTCTTGATTATTTTTTTTAATTACTCACAAGGATTCTTTTATTAGAGATAATCATGTTCAAGTATGGTTGGACATTAAATATGAGTATATTTTTTAATATGAATTTGAACTTTAGTTTTTGATGTTGTAAAAGAGTAGACCCTTTCATTAAATTCGACTCATATTATTTATACCTCTTGATTATTATTTTCAAAATATAGCCAGTTTCAAAGTTCATTGCTCCAATCAGGCCTTAAATTGTAATTTATCTTTTGAGAGTCTAAATGGCTTAAAGTGCTGGTATTTTCTCTATTTTAGTTTACAAAAATAAAATATTGGTATTTCGCTAACAAATTATTGTTTTTCTCTCAATAATGTCCAAATCACATGAACGAGTCTTTAAATATAATCGTGCATTCTTTTTATCAATGCTTACTGTGAAAAAAAAAGAGTAAATTATAATTACACTTTTCTGTTGAAAATTTGAAAGTATAATTGAATTTCCTATTTTCTTACACAGATTATAACTATATAACAAATATTAAATAATTTGGCCAAGTGTGTGTGTTTGTCAAGTATCTGTACATAAACCAAATTAAAAACAACCGTTTATGTAGTACCAAACCTAGGAAGGAAAAATTATCAAAGATGATAATGCGTATGGAAGAAACAATGCAATCCTATTCTGAAACTCATGCAGGTGAAAAAGCTCCAAGTTTCATCCCTAGTGACAAACAAATAATATCTCACAAACTCAATGTAACTCACAGCCGATACATTGTTATTTGAATGACGCGTTTTCAAAATGTACCAAACTAATAACCATTTGATTGTAAATTAAATCTATTCATCTCATTTGCTTTTAAGTCTGGCCGTATTGATGATGCTTTTAAATTATACTAATAATCATTTATTTATTGTGTTGTAGAAAATTTAATTTAATACTTTTAACCAAAATCGAAGAGAAAATTTGATTTAATCCATTATTTATATTTTTATTATATATTTTTTATAAAAATTCTACATGTATAAAAAATATTTAGAAGACAATCTAATTATATAAATTGAATTATAAAAATTATGTAATTAATTCTAAAGTCATATAATCATTTAATAAAAATGTAAAAGTTCTTACTTTTATTTATTTGAAGAAAAAATGTAAGAATTTTAACTTTCATGGATTAAAAAATTTAATTGGTTAAACTATAAGGACTCAAATAAAACAAAATAATTGTAAGAACTTAATTTAAAATTAAGTAAAACTGTAAAAATTTGTAAATATGTTTTTTTTAAAAAAAGAAAAACTATAGATTTAAGAGCATTATGCACCTTAGACATTTCAGCTTCTAAAAGGTTACTGCACCCTAAAAGAGTAATATTTCAAATGTTCCAGCGTCCTCATCCCACATGATAAGCATGCTTAGCTAACCAATTCGCACGAGTTCACTTCTCAAAAGGTATGCTCCCTGGAAACAATAATCAAAATTTATAGGCAACCGCTACAATTGATTGAGATTGACGATTGAAAAATCAAACTGGTCAGACCACCAATTAGTCAAGTTAACAACTTGGTCAACCTAAAAAAACTATTTGAAAAGTTAGGCCAAATTAGGCCATCTTTTAGACTGAGACCTAAATTAAGCCAGAAAGATCTAATCCTTAAAAACTAGACGGCTAAAAAAATACCTTTTTTATTGTCTTTGATCAGTTTTTTTTTAAATGACCTATTTTTTAATAATTTGACGTTATTTGTATCATATAGCTGGCTAAGCCATGAGAAATTTAAAATATTTAATTTTATTTTTAAATTAAATAACAATTTTGTATTTATTTCTCATATTTAAATATTATCATATATATAATTTTTTTTATTTAATCATTAAATCACAAGTTCGACCATTCGTCTAACTTGATTGAACCATGTAAACCGTAAACCTCTAGCCTTTTTGATTCAACATCGACCTGATTCTGAAAACATTGATTGAGATATGTAACACCTAAAATTGTGTAAAGTAACAGCAAGATAATGTCCTCTCGTTAACAGAACATGAGGCCACAAGCAAAACCAAAGTTATAGTCTTATGCCACACATTGCATTGACATTTTGGAGCAGGAAAACTGAATCACTGTATCAAATAGATCTTATTTAATCATCTAAAAGATGTCATACATTGAAGGTGACAGCATCTTTCAGCCCTGATTTCCCTGATTCTAAAACCAAAAGAAAATTAAGCAAGACGACCACCTCCCATTCAACAAACAGGATCCTGAAAGAAAGAAAAGAAAAGCCCAAAGGCCAAATGACTTTATTTACAAATCATATAATATAAAACAGGCCATAAAGAGGAAGGAGGAGGAAATTATTAAGGAGCATTGCAAATATTGTCCCAAGATGCACAAATATGCCAAAATGACCTTCATATCTGTATCTGATATGCATCCACCACAGATACTTGCACAGTATCAATGAGTACGCCCTTATATGATGTTTCACCAGGTTTTGTTCTAAAATATTCCAAATCATAGTAATGCATTTTAAGAAACAACATGTAATGCAATGCAATAAGAGATGATTTTTTTCTTTTTTTAAAGAAAAGTTTGTTTTGTTTCCTGAAACCGCAATAGTTCTTCATGAGTATTCTTCTTGTCTTTGCCAATATCACCTCAAAGGAATAAAACCAAATGCAAAAAGGAGCAAAAGAAAGTGATAGTAAGAAAGGGAAAGACAAGTATACCCGATCCTTTCAACTCTATAGACTATACCTATTCTTCCCAATACATCATGTTTGAGTCTGTTTGAGCCTGAGGGTTTTATTGGAGTTTCATATCGGTCTGTTCATTCTTCATTGTCCAGATTTCTTCATTCTTCTTTAGTCTTGCATTCTTCTTCACTTTACTGGCTTTGTAGCACTCCGTTGTAAATTGTTTAAGTTGTTGAGTACAAACACCCACTAGCATTTCATAGATTGCCATATCTCTGACATTGTACTCCCTCCAGTTTAAATTGCAAGATATTTTTTTCCCAGCTAAGCTTGGTCCAAAATGTAGGACACTTAGTACTTTTGGAAATTATTTTTCTAAATTTAACCTTGTATTAATTAATGTGGCCGTGAAAAACATGATCTGACTAAACACTTCTTCTCACTCTTCATAATATAGGAGTTAAGGGCAAAAAGGGAAAGATATGAGATTTTTTCATGGAAGTAAGGAAATAACTACTTTTATTGATATGTGAAATATGGTTGGAAGTATATTACAATTTGGACCAAAGGAGGTGTCTTCTTGAGTATTGTCTACCTTAACACTCTCCCTATCTCTCCAACAAATAAATTGCAAAAGAAAAAAGAACTTTGCTCTCTAACATAAGATACTAAAATTAGAATCTTCCAAATTATGGGCTTTCGAAGCTAGTTATAAAAAACAACAAGCCTTTAGTCTAAAACACTTCACAGAACAGTTACCATCACAATATTACTGACATACAACAACCACGTGTGATGGAACTTGGGTAAAAAACATGGTATTGAAACACGGACTGAACCGGCTGGGTCAAACCGGAAACCGGTGATCCGGTCCCTTGTCCGGTCTGCGTTTACTCCAAAACCAGTGAGGGAATGAACCGGTGTAACCAGCTATAACCTGGTGGGTTGACTGGGTTATTATTTTTTCAGACAAAACCTCTAAAACGACATCGTTTTGGGGGATTTTTTTTCATTTTTTATTTTCCAGAGCGCTGAGTTCAGAAATAAGATAACAAAAAAAACTGAAACTGAAGTCAAAAAATGAAAAATTAGAGGCAGAGCACGCTAAGTCCAATCCAGATTTCAAAACAGCATTCAGTTCGGCCTTTCATTTGTGTCTCTCCTTTCTCGCCCTCACCTAATCGGCATCTCTTCTCTAGCTCAATCTCGTCTCTTCTCCAGGCTCCAGCTCTATTTCCGTATCTACTGTCTTCGTCTCTTTTCTAGCTTAGTCTCTGACTCTCCGTCTCTTCTCCAACTCTATCACTGTCTCTTCTCCAACTCAATGTCTGTCTCTTCTCCAGCTCTGTCTCCATCTCTTTTCTAAACTTTTGAGATTGAAGGGTTGTAATTGTAAGAATAAATATTTAAAGTGTTGTATTTTATTATGGTTAGACTTTTGAATGGTTGGATTTGGTTGAATGTTTTTATAATTAATGTCTTTTTATTTAAATTGTATTATTTTAATCATGACCGATTTGCCACCAGTTCAACCTTCAATTCAACCTTGATTGAACCATTAACCCGTGACCCAGTGCTATGACTGGTTCAATGACCGGTTCAATGACCGGTCCGGTTTTACGTACCTTGGTAAAAAGTAAAAAAAAAAACTAAATTCCTTCACGACTTTCAACATATCCAAGTTCAAAATGTGTTCCAATAAATTACCCAAGACTAGTTATCTTCTGCAATTCAATGAGTCCATCTTTGAATCACAACCAAGACAGTCTATTAAATGAAGCATGAAAAATCATGATTCATAAGCATGGGAAGCTGGGAAAAAATTTTAAAAAAAAACATAACTTTAGGTCCTTATACTTTACTTGAGTTTTGCTATAGGTCCCCACACTTATTTTTTGGTGTTTCAAGTCCCTCCACTTTTGTTTTTTGGTGTTCTAAATCCCTTTAACACTGCTCATGGAGAGAGTTAGAATACTGAAAAATAAAAGTGGAGAGACTTGAAATACTTAAAAAAAAAAAAGTATAGGGATCTATAACAAAACTTGAACAAAGTGTAGGTTTTTCTAAAAATAAATAAAATCCAAGATGAGCCTAACAAAACAAGAATCTACAATAAAATTAGCCACCCTCTAACCCACGATATTTGGAGCAAGTGTTAGTGTCCTGAATCAGGTTGAATTATATCAATGTGGGGAAAAAAAAAATTAAACTTTCAAGTAGAACGGTTAACAATATGACATAATGTCATGCCGATGAATCTCCTAAGGGTAATATTGAAAAGAAAATAATAATAATAATAATAATTTATAAACCATTCCATTCCTTCATTTCTAAAGTATCTCAGAATCCCAGAGAACAGAGAACGAAATGTAACTTTCCATTCCACCCTTTCCCTTCTCATTCCATTCTATATCTTTATAGATACTTTCATTTCACTTGTTACTCAACTCCGCAACATAACCTAAACTAAAGATCTAGAGGCATAAGCAAGTTTTAATCCACTTCATTTCAAGGCACCTAAATCAGAAACCAGAATGGTTCGGAATCCGTATCAGCCTATACATTTTGCTACCAAAAGAAAGCTCCATAAATCAAAACTCTTACAAGGAACAAGAACACAGATAGTCTGTATGTGAAATTGAAATCCATAGCATAAATCCAATTTGACCACCCCAACGACAAAACATATGAATCAATCATCAATCATCAATCTAAAAGAAAGCATCTGAAAAAACTGAAACTTCATCGCAGCAACCGAATCAATCACCGTTTGAAATTCATGGAGACGCACACCTGAAGCAATAGACGACGGATAAAATCAGTGTCCACCGTGACCATGCTGCTTTTCGTGTTCCAGATGCTCAAGGTGGCGGCGTTCATGGGGGAGGGCGACGAGGTAGGAGAAGATCATGCCTCCAAAGCAAACATGATAGAGCGGCTGGATGGAGTCGGTTTCTATGTACTTGGCGCGATAGTTATCCAATCCTCTCCGAACAGCCTTCTTGACGTAGTCGACGGACAACAGTGGCTTCACATGTTGGGGCAGATCCTTCACCCTCATACCTTTGATCTCATGGTAGAAGTTTCTCATCGCCATTGTATCCGATGGATTGAAGAGGTTGGAATCGCAGGTGAAGAACCCTAGCCCCGTGAATGCGTAAATGGTCCGAATTTAGCCACGTTTTTTTTTTTTTTTCGTTTCCCCTCTTTCCCCCTACCCCTAGTGAGAACGGGAAACTTCAAGAGGCTCCGGGCTATTTGACCCAAAAAAAGAAGGCGACGGGCTAACCGGCAATAACAATAATTTTATTAAAAAAAAAAAAGAGGGGGGGAATTCTTTAGTCCACACAATTACAGAAAATACCATAAAGTCCTGCCAATACACAAATTATTTTACAATGCCAAGATCCTTAGATGTAATTAATTTTTGGGTTAAAAGTTCTTTTTGGCTCAACTATTTTCATGTGATGCAATTTTCCCTTCAACATTTGAAAACAGTGTATTAAACATTCTATTATTAAAAAGGTTAACTTTTACTATTATTTTACTTGAAAATTACATAAAAGAATCTAAAATTATATATGTAAGAACCCATAAAATTACACAAAATTATCCTATAAGAAAATTAGCATGAACTAAGTCTCCTAAATTACATGCACGTGATGAGATGCAAATATTATTTCATGCCCACGTACATGGCCCAAATACAATTTTGACCAATTATTATAAGAATTTAATCAATATTAGTTTTTTATAGGATATTTATTTGTAATTTTATGAGTCATTTTTTTTATATTTTTTTGGCCCACTTTAGTATTTTCTTGGTCAACTAACTAACAATTAAAGTCACTCTCTCCGTTAAAAAATATAAGACATTTTTTAAGAAGTTTGATATTAAAAAATTTAAAGCATCTTTAATGTTTCAAGGTGTAATCATTGTCTTTTTTTTTTTAAGTGCTCATAATGAATAAATTACTTTATATTTATTTTAGAGTAAAATAACCCATTAAATAGGGGTAAATATAAAAAGATTGTGTTAGTTTGAAGACAAGTAACTACTTTATTAGGAGATATAATTTGATTAAAAATATTTTATATTTTTTAATAAAAGAAGTAGCTTTTTTAATAGTAGAGTATCCAGTGCATATTTTCAAATGTTAAAAAGGAAATTATATCACATGTAAATTTAAAATACCAGACACACTTAAACAATAGCTGTAAGACAAAAGCACAATCGAACTCTTAATTTTTTAAATACATTTATCAAATACCCTCCTTTAGGGTATTTTTTATTGTTGTGTGGAACTTTGAAATAATTTTTCCACATTTTTAGGTACAACGAGATTTTTTTTAATAAAATCAAATGGAAATTAGTGGAACAGAATATAGCTAATTGTACACTAAAAAATTGAAAAGAAATAGGTATGTTTGGTTTTTGTTTTCAAAAAGTATTTTTTATATCAAAAATAATAAATAAAATTATTTGGGTAAATGTTTTGAAATAAATGTCTTTAAATTTGTTCTCGTTCATTTTTTTTAATTTTAAAGGACCTTTGACTATTGAAGAGTGCATCCAATTATGACTAATTATTGTCATGAGTCTGTTGAATCTGAATATCTCAATTTATATGTATAATAAAACATGATAGAATAAAGTAATTCATGCGTACCTGAAGAATCCATGAGTGCTAGAGAAATCTCAATTACCTCGAGTATAAGCAGGTACACAACTCACAGGTCCTCAGAGCCTTCAGAGACTTCAGAGATAATGGAAGTAGAAGAAATGAGTAATCTGTTTGCGGTTATCGACTAATCGTCTTATATAGATCAGATCGGTAACCGCCTTATTAAATAGTTAAATAATTATATCATCTATTATCTCTGACTCAGTTAGTTAAGAGATAGAAAATAACTGACGGCTACTGGGTTATGGGTTGGGCCTCTGCCCATTGGACTCACTTGTGTGGTCCACCTATCACGGTCCACACAAGATCATAAAGATCAATCTATTGGGCTTATTAATTAATGCTAATTCATAAATAATATTCCAACAATCTCCCACTTGAATTGCATTAATTAAGCAAGTTGTATAAACAAGTTACAAACAAAAAATTTAAAAATGAAACTTCACAAAATCACTGAATCCTATGGGGGAAACAAGTGATATGATATCTCATAATCTGAATAAAATACGAAATTTTTATTCTAAACACAGTGCAGTAAGATAACAACATAAATCACTGATTCCTATGGGAAAACAAGTGGCATGTATAGCGTACCACAACAGAATCATTGAATCCTATGAGGATATAAATGATATAGACACATCTAACTGAACTGAATATAACTCACAGAAGAAAACAAAGCTTAACGAAAAATTGCAACATAAAAGATTCTCAAACTCCCACTAAACTAGGGCATCAAAAGAATTCACAATACCCATACAAGCTACATGATTTTGAAAAACTTCTACAGGTAAGCCCTTGGTCAGTGGATCTGCAAGCATCTGCGTGCCAGGAATGTGTACCACATGGGTTTGAGACTCAACAATTTTCTCTCACAAACATAAGTTTGATATCAAAATGCTCTGTACGGCTGGAATTTCTGTGATTATTAGCATGGTACACTGCAAATTTGTTATCACAATAAATGGTTAGAGGATGTGATATTGACTCAACTAGGCACATGCTAGATATCAACTTCCTCAGCCATATAGCATGACGTGTAGTCTCAAAACAAGCAATATACTCAACTTCCATAGATGAAACTACCGTAAGTGTGTGTTTCGCACTTTTTCAAGAGACAGCTCGTCCAGACAATATGAAAATATAGCTGGTCATGGACTTACGATCATCCAGACAAGAGGCAAAATCTGAATCTGAGAAGCCAACAATTTCAAGATCTTCTGATCTCTTAAAGTCATAATCAAAATACCCAACAACCTCAAGAGAATTTGACCTTCTGTAAGTCAACATATGATTCTTTGTACCTTGAAGATACCTCATAACTTTCTTAGCAACCTTCCAATGATTCGGACCTGGATCATTTAAGTATTGACCCAACACTCCAATGGCAAAGGCTATATCTGGTCGAGTACACACTTGAACATACATAAGGCTGCCAACAGTGAAAGCATATGGTATCTTTCTCATTTCAGCCCTCTTCTTATCATCCTTAGGACACTGTAACTTTGATAACAGCTTACCTTTCTGTACAGGAGCAGGTGAAGGAGAACATGAGTCCATTCTGAATCTCTTAAGTACCTGCTCAATATAAGTGGTCTGTGATAAACCAAGAATACCACGAGATTTATCACAATGAATCTGTATCCCAAGAACAAAGGAGGCTTCACCCATGTCCTTCATGTCAAAATGACAAGACAATAGGTGCTTTATCTCATTGAAGAAATTTATTGAATTGTTGGCTAACAAGATATCATCAATATAGAGAACAAGAATGGCAAAATTGTTCCCATCAAACTTCTGATAGATGCATTGATCTAAGACATTCTCAACAAAACTGAGCGAGGTGATAACTTCATCAAATTTCAAATACTACTGCCTAGAGGCCTGTTTTAGCCTATAGATGAATCTCTTTAATCTGCACACTAGATGTTCTTTACCAGATTCAACAAAACCATCTGGTTGTGTCATGTAGACTTCTTCATACAAATCGCCATTCAAGAATGCAGTCTTGACATCCATCTGGTGAAGATCAAGATCAAGCTGTGCAACTAAAGCCATTACTACTCTAAAAGCATCTTTAGTGGATACTGGAGAGAAGGTTTCTGTGTAATCAATTCCTTCTTTCTGATTGTAGCCTTTAGTTACAAGTTTGGCTTTTATCTATCAATTTCACCTCTAGCTTCTCGTTTTGTTTTAAAGACCCACTTGCAACCCACTGGTTTAAAACCCTTTGGTAGCTCTACAAGCTCCCATACGTGATTGTGGTACATAGAGGCAATTTCTTCACTCATAGCCCCCAACCATTTAGAAGAATGCGAGCTAGAAATAGCTTCTTGGTAAGATATTGGGTATAAACTATTAATAGTATCTAAATCAAATTCCAGCAAATATACCATGTAATCATCTAAAATAGCAGACTTACGAACCTTTTGGGACCGTCTTGGTTCAACAACCAGATCCCTATCACTTTTTAAAGGTGGTTCATCTTGAGCTTTATCCTGATCTACGACATTATTTTTGTCAACATGAGGGGTTGTCAAGATAGGCATAGGCAAAATGCTACTTTCGTCATGCAAAGTAATATGCCTAGGCACAGAGCTCCCACTGTCTAAGGCATCTTCAAAGAAATAAGCTCGGTCAGATTCAATTACCCTAGTAGTATGATTTGGACAATAAAACCTATACCCCTGAGATCCGATGCAATAGTCAATAAAGAAACCATCAACAGTTTTAGCATCAAGCTTCATCTGTTGTAGATTGTAAGGTTTTACCTGTGTTTTACAACCCCAAACTCGCACATGCTTTAGTACAGGAGTCCTTTCAAAATACAACTCATATCGAGTCTTTAGAACTAACTTGCTAGGAACTTGATTCAAAATATAAACAGCAGTTTTAAGTGCATCACTCCACAAGAATTTTGGCAGTGAAGAGTGACTGATCATGCTCCTAACCATATCCATGAGAGTACAATTTTGCCTTTCTGTAACCCCATTTTACTGCGGGGTACCAGGCATAGTATACTGAGCTTCAATGCCATGCTCTTGAAGGTACAAAGCAAATAGTCCAGGGTTCCTGTAATAATTGCATAACCCTTTAAAGGGTTTCTTCATCGACTTCTCACTCTTATCACCATCCTTCTTAAAGGTTGGATTATTAAGCTTTGGGGCATCATGCTTCTTCCCCTTTTTCTTATATGACCCTCCAGATTTGTTGCTTGAGCCATAAAAAACATAGTTTATTAAGTGAGAGGAATTCTTCTTTATAGCTTCCTCTTCTTGAGTGACTATCGATATCATCTGGTCAATAGACCATTCAGCTTCTTGTGAGTTGTATGAAGTCCTCAAGAATGAAAACTCTGATGGCAATGATTGAAGAACACGGTAAACTAAGGTACTTTTACCCAAATCAATCCCATATGACTTAAGCTTGTTATAGTAATGAACAAGCTTTAGAATGTGCTTCCTGACACCAGAAACTCTGTCATATCGAGTATTATCAAGAAGTGACAGATAGTAGTTTTTTTAGTCTTGTCAAGCTTCT